CTCAAAGCTGACGTTGAAGAGCAAGAAACTCCTGTAATAGAGAAGAAAATAACCAGTGATCCAGAGAGAATTTCATAAACACAGTACACCATCATCCAATCTATCTCCAAGGACTCAGAGAAATGTTCATTCAGTAGAGTAATACCCTTTATTCAGAGTCATCCTTCACACTTTATGGGTAAATTGCTTGCTGTTAAAATGCCTAATTCCAAAGTAAAGGAGCTTTAGATAGAAATATTTAAACTGGCATAACATTTACAAGTAAACATTGACAATTCTTGAAAGAAAAACAAGTTGGGCATTAAACGAAGTTACTATATAGGAATCTGTAGTACAGAGGGCAAAATTTACTGGAATAAGAAATGACATAACATCCTCATTCTAGATCTTCTACTGTTCAGTTTTCTAAGATCTGCTTCACTTCTTTTAATAATCCAAAGGAATTTTTGCATTTTTAAATTAGAGAATATACTTATAAACATTTATTGAGTGCTTTTAAGCTTTAAGACACAATCGAAACACACATAAAACACATAATATTGCATTAATATCAATCCTATCTACTAGTTTTTTATTATTGCCTTTATAAACTTGTTGGAAGAATATCTTCATTCATTTTCTCCAATTACATGTTTCTTCTACATTCTTCCATGTACTGCAATTGAGATTTTGTGTCCCAAACTAAAATCCAGTGATACGTTTGACAAATACAATTGATATTTTTCATTTCCCAATGTATTAAAAAAATATACAAATGCTACATAATTCAGGTGTATTCTTTCTTCATATCCTCATTCCACTTGTCATCTCCCAAGAGAATATTGCCAATTTAGTATCTACATTCCTATTCTTTCTAGTGTGCATTCAAATGTGTATTTGACAAAAAGGGGTTAAACTGGTTTCTGTCCTTTACCTTTTAATCACTTAATGTATTCTGCAGCTCTCTCCATATAGGCACATCAGCATGGGTGGATTTTCTTCATTCTTTCTGATAACTGTAGGCTGGATGATCTATGATTACTATAACCTCTTTGTTGATGATAACTGTGGTGTGGATGCTCTATGATAAATATAACCTCTTCGTTTCTGATGAATCTTTACATTATTAACAATTAAAAAAAGTTCCTATGAATATTTTTGAATGGGATTGGTGACTCAGGAAATACACTTTAAAAATTTACAGATGCTGCCAAATCAGTAAATTGTTCAACAACTTTTATCATGAATAACAAATGAAAATTCACATTCATCTCTCCACATCTTAATCACAGTTCTTTGTTACTATAAAATTGTGAAAAATATTTTCTTTCATGATTATTAGTGAATTCACGCACCTTTTCATATATTTACTGGCTCTGTGACACTGTTACTTCCTAGTATAATCTATTAAAATTTTCTTGCAGCACATTTTCTAGTCATATTGGTTTATAGGAAATTTTAATTTACATTTAATCATTTATCTTTCATGTATTTCAAAATTTCTATCTATTACACTGTTGACTTTTTAAACTTTTTAATATGTTTTGTTTCTATGAGTTTTTAAAAAAATCATATATGTAATATTTCCCATTATGATATTTGGACTAAGTGATTTCCAAAGGTCACAAAATATTACAATATGGCTTGTTCTGTTATTTTTCCATGTCTTTAATCTATCTGATATTACTTTTATTCATATACATTTGTGTGTATTAGAAACTTCATTAAATTTTTAATATTTTTCTCCCATTGGACAAAAAATGTCCTAAGTCAGTTATTAAATTGTTTATAATTGCTTTTTGATTTTTAATATTATCTTTATTTTTAAAATTGCACATTTTGGCCCAGCTCATAGCATGGTAGTTAGGGTAGTTGGATCCCACATGGTCTTTTGGCAAAATTTTAAAAATATATATTAGAACATTTTATAGGTTTGCTTATGGATTTTTCATTCTTTTTATCTCCCAATGTTTCTTGATTATTTAATGTTTTTATCCTCAACCTAAGCTTTGAATTAACTTATCAAAGTCCCATGAAAATCCTCATTTGGACATTGCAATATAGTTTGGGATATGATCATTTTAAATTATTCGTTAATTCGATCCCAACACTGATTACATTTTCCCTTTAATTGTATAATTTTACTGTTAGTTTGTCAAAATTTTAATAGAATGAGAAGTAGAAGAGCATGACCAGCACAGTGTTGTGATCTGTTCTATCTTGCTTTACTCTATACATCAGTTACTACTGACCATATCTTTAGGATCTCAAAAGCTTCCTTGTGTTCTCTTATGTCTCTGGCACTGTTTCTCAGTTTCTTTTCTTTTCAAGTATTTGCTTAATTTATTAAAACTCCTGCTCTAATATTTCTACTGAGAATAGGATTCTGTTATCTACTGGACTTAAGCATACCTCGAGTGTAACATTCCTGATATAGAAATTATAATCTTCTCAAGAGATACAACACCTTAACCCTGTTCCACCTCCTCTGTTCCTTAAATATCTTAGTGAAAGACACTTGGAAACTTTGTCTGAATCTCTTCTCACATATGGTTATAGTTCACCAACTTGTCATTGTCCTGAACATTGCTTTGCAAGCAAAGATATTTTCCCCTTATAGCCAAACATGAGCTATATAAAATGCACATTTGACCATGTAATTTCTGTCTTTAAAAAAAGAAATTTAGGGGCCAGCAGGTGGTGTAGTGGTTAAGTGCTTAACTCACACATAGCCAACGGCAGTTTGAGTCCTGGACCTAGTGGCTTGAAACTCATGCCAAGTGCTTGTGAAACATGTGTACTCAGAATCCTGAGAGGAGAATGGAGAAGGGATAGCAGCATGGCTATACCCATTAAGGAGTGATTTCTTGCTTTTTATCTCTCTGGTGAGCACACATGCCCTATAGCAAAAATATAAAAAAAAAATTTTTTTTGGTTCCAGTTGCTTACACTATGGTGTAATTTTCTTGATCTTTTACTACAGGGCCTATGTCATCTGATTTTTGTCTAATTCTCCAAAATTATTTGCTGCTCTATTCCTAGCTCCATCCCCAGTAATTTAGTTATGTAAGTATACTTGCAGATTCCCAGATACACAAATCTTCACATGTGTCTGCACCCTTTGTTGACCCCACTAGTTAGAATGCTTTTATTCTGTCTTATTCACAAGACTACTTTCTAGAGTACTCCATGACTTAGCTGTAAGTCTCTTATTAGTCTCACTTCTTAGTCTGAGTTGACTGTGTCTCTGTTGAGCACCCCATAGTTACTTCAGTATAGCACTTGCATACTCTAATTCCCAGATTGTTTCGTCCACCTCTAGATTGTGAGCTCCTTGAAAATAGACCTGGGCATCTAATGTCACCTTCTCAAGCACCTGTCCCAATTCCTGTTACATGGATACTATCTAGTAAGTTTCTAACAAATAGATGGATAAAATTCAGTGGAAATGATCAGTTTAGTAGGGTGTAAGTGAAATAAATAATTCAAGGAAACTACATGCTAGGAAAGTCATAAAGTCTTCTCAGAAAATAAAAGCTTGTACCATCAGTTTTAAGGGATGGCTCTGCCCTGCTTTCATCTCTGGAATGATGTCTCACATCATCAAAAGATTTTCTCAAACAATGAATACTATAGGAAATAATGGGAAAATATTATTTGACTAAAGAGACAGTAAAATCTGTACCCAGGATGCTGAAGGTGGAAAGTCAGGTTGCCCTCCATGTTTAAACTTTTGTGTGTTTTCACAAGTTATTTTGACCAATGTGGATGCAGAAGAGAGCATGCTTTTCTCATTGCTACTCTACCAAAATTCAGAAATAAGAGCCATAAACTCGGCTTTCTCTGTGTTTATTCTTTCAGAGAAAAAGATATCGACTAACTGAGATCCTGCTTAAGATATAAGATGAGCTTTTATTTTCAAACTGTTTTCCTCAACTCAGTGTGTCAACACAAAATATCAATTAGATACTCAAAATTTACTGGGCATAAAGAGTACATTAGACTTAATAGAATAAAATTAAAAAATAAAGTCAATTCAAAAATAAAGATAAATTTGTGTGTATAAAGTACAGAATACACATTTAGTGTTATAGTTCTTTTATACCTTTTTAACATTGTTTTTTGCCATAGGGTGTGCACACTTGCCAGAGCGAGAGAGAAACAGAGAGAGGGAACACCTTCCAGGGAGAATGGCTGCACAACAATCATTTTTCCTACATTCTCCTCTCAGAATTTTGGTTATACACACACACACTCACACACACACAGACACACACACACACGTATGTGCCAGGCATGATTTTGAAGCCTCTTTTGGGGTCTAAGACTAGAACTGTGGTTATCCACGTGGGAGTTCAGTGCCTTGACCACTATGCCACCTACTGGTTGCCTTTTGTACCATTTTTAAAATATAGCATTAGTTCGCCTTGTCGCATTAGCCATTTGCTCATTTATTAGTTAAACTACCTATTTGCAAAAGGAAGAGTATTCCAATCTACCTATTGTGGGAGGTTTCTGGAAATTACAGCCACTCCTGTCTATTATTTTCTTTACTGGTTCTTATCTGTACTTCTCTTACACAATTTCTATAATTGGTGACTTTAGAATAACCTTGACTTCCATTCAACAATATTGTGACAGTTCCATTCAAAAATATAAATTATATTCTCCTAGAAGTTTATGTGTGAGGTTGATTTTGTATTGTTTGCTTATTTTTTTTAATAAAGATGAGAATTTTTGTAAATCATGGGAATCCTGAAGACAGACCCATGAAGCCTTTGTTCCTAATGATTAAGACACTGAACCAAAAATATTCCAGCCAGAAGACTCACAGACTTTTTTTTTTTTTTTTGAGAGGTTTTTGCTGTAGGGCACTTGCCAGAAAGACAGAGAGAAACAGAGACAGAAAGCGAGAAACCACCCCGATCCCCCCCCAGGGGGGATGGCCATGCCGCAATCCCTTCTTTATTCTCTTCTCCAGATCTTTTTTTTCTTTCTTTCTTTTTTTTTTTTTTTTTAAACAGGGGAGAGCTTGAATGTAGTCCCCTGCTACCACAAATCATGTAGTCGAGTTTCCCACATTTGGGGAAATTGCAGGGGTCAGCACATCCGGAGTGCAATGGATAAGCCTCGCCCTGGGAAAACCACCTTAGTAGTTTTCAGGTTATCTCCCCTGCCAGGTAAGTATCTCCTTGCGAGATCTTGAGCACCCATGCCTGGCGTGAGTTTAAGCCACTGGGCCCAGGACTTGAGCTGTGGTTGATTACATGGGAGTCCATCAAGATAGCCATTACGCCAACTGCTGGTCCCGACTTACAGACTTATAAGTGGGGCCCTTGTAATTCTTTGTTCTTAGAACTCTGAGAAAGTGAGCTTGATGAAGAAAGGTGGAGGAACAGTGGAAAAGTTTGAGGCCTTATCTTACTTAGCTCAAGGAGTATGGTCAAATAATTATTGGAGTAAATTTAAGCAAAGCTGTGATATATTCTGCAAGAACTATTTTTCTGTCAGTTTCCATCCTCCTAATATTACTAGCTACTCAGTAATGGTGTGAAGGCTGATGGCTTATATAATCCTTCATTTTTGGAAGTTTTCCCTAAATACTGGTTAACTTATTTCACATATCTACATTTGATAGAAATAAGTGGTTTTTCATCTTCCACTTTAGTTTCCCCTATAACCTGCATCTGTACTAAATACCCATGACCAGATTTGCTACATGGATAAATAAGGCATCCTGATAGTATTTTTCAAAATAACAAGTGAAATTATTTAGAAGACAATTGCTTCTGCAGAAAAGAATGTCAGTTCCTCTGATACCCCAGGGGATTCACATCTCTGAAGAAATATGTAAATGTGAAACAGAAGTCCCCAAATCATATAAAGCAAGGGCCAGCAGGTGGCATGGTGCATGGTGTTTAAAGTGTTAGGCTACCACATGGACAACCACCTTTCAAGACCTGGACTAGAAGCTTGAAAATTAAGGTGGTTGCACGTACATGGATGGAGTGCCCAACATCCTAACAAGCACATGAGCCCTAAGGCAAAAACCTAAATACACACACACACATGCACATAATGCAACAAAACCAAAAAAAAAAAAAAAAAAGAAGATGGCTTTACCTGCAATGATACAAGCACAACAAAGCAAAGAGTATTGTCAAAGAAGAGAATGACAAAGAAATGTACTCTTTAGTGTCTTTACTTTGTGTGTGTGTGTGTGTGTGTGTGTGTGTGTGTGTGATGATTTGATACACTGGGCTTTTATGGAGAAAAAATAAAAATATGTTAAGAAAGGATAGGATAATGATAAAAACCAGAAAGCTAATGGTTGTAGCATTGGCTTCTAACACTCTTTTCCCTACCCTTCAAATTCCATTTAAAGAGAGATCCAGGAGATGTGTGACTCTGGCTCCAGGTAAACCTAATTAGGTTTGACTTCTTCTCAACACTGCCCTAATTTGGTAGAATTAGATAACAAAGCAAGCTTTGTACTGAGAGTCTATAACCAAGCTGAACTATTCAAATCAAAGGTGAAACAGACAAATCCCAAAAGAGATTGTTTTTCTTTTCATTGACAGGATGGGAAAGATTTATTGCAATGTTGAAATAAAATGTTGAAAATGTATTTCTTAGGAAGTCCACAGTGATATTTGCCAATCTGACTTTAATCTGCCCAAAGAATACAAAATTCCATACAGAATTTACTATTAATAGAACAAACAAAACTTATTTTTTAAGTTCTCCTTTATTTTAACCTTGTTTTCTAACACAATTTGGCTATTTGTCTCCAAGGATTGAGAAAATAAGTCAATGATTTTCTTTTACAGAAGTGTTGGAAAGGTCTTCAATAGTGTTTAACTTCCTAATATACCACTAATTAAAATGAACTCTTCGGGGATACTTTAGGAAAAAAAAAGATCTTAAATTATAGCAGTGCTACCACATATTAGGATTTGTTTATTTACTTGGGTCTTAAATCTTTGTGAAAATCACTCTTGGAAAATGTCAGTGTATTGATTATCTTCCAAAAATGATACCATCCACTTTTATTAGACCATGTCTAGGAGGCAATGAAAATTTATCTTATCTGTTGTGACATTCAGAACAACACCCTAGAAAACTAGGAGAAAAAAAAAAATCCAAGAGCTATTTAAAGTGATAGTATGTGACCTTAATAATCACTTACATCAGTTCCGTGACTGCACAAATATTTACTAGGTCTAAAATTTTGTTTTAGCTGGTAAAATTGAGATAAGATTAAGACTAGTTATTGTATGACATGCCTGTGCTACTTGGTATAGCACCTTTTAACCACTGGACAATCAATAAATATTAGCTTGTATTAGTTATAGAAAGTGCACATGGAATCAAAATAATTATAGTGAAAATAGTAATACTATTGAAAAAATCAAAGACTGTTAGTTATAAACAAGATATAAACGAAATGGCAGAATCATTAGATGGTGCTGGGCAAACAATGGAGGAAATACAGTAATAAAAAGGAATGAAGTGCATCCATTAATCATTAGAGAGTAGGATTAAAGTCAGCAAATCTTAAAGCTCAGCCCTCCCATTCATAACCTTATATTGATATACCTAAAGCTTGAAGCACAGAACAAGTACAACATTGCAGTTGACTACCTGGGAGTCCAGCGACATAGCCATTATGCTACTGCTGGTCCTGGTTACATGTTATTTATTTTTTCTTTTTTTTGGAGAGGTTTTTGCTATAGGGCACGTGTGCTCGCCAGACAGACAGAGAGAAACAGAGAGAAAGCGAGAGAGAGAAAGCCATTCTCCCCAGAAGGAATGGCCACGCCACAGTCCCTTCTCCTCCATTCTCCTCTTGGGATCTTGGGCATGCACGCACATGCACCTGGCATGAGTTTAAGCCACCGGGTCCGGCACTCGAACCGTGGTTGACTACGTGGGAGTCCAGCAACATAGCCATTACGCTAACTGCTGGTCGCAGTTACATGTTATTTTTAAAGGGCAGAAATTTGTAGTCAAAATTGTTTTTTTTTAATGTTTCTTCTCCATTTTGAGCAACAATGACCATATATACTGTGTTTCCTTCATCACAGTACATGTAGCAGTCAGAAATATCCTTCTTTCCCTTTTATAGGTCAGATTCTTCAGGAAATAGACTCCAAATTTGTAGAATTGTATACAGGTGACTTTTTGGAGAATTACAAGAAAAGGATGGACAGAGAAAAAACTTGAGTTAATATGAATTCACCACAGGGACTCATACAATGGCAATGGTGATACTTAAACTATATTTTTACTTCAAAGGTATCTTAAATTGAGGTGAGAGGATTGGCTACTCACTGGATGTGATTGCTTTCAGAGAAGGTACAGAATCTGAATGAAGAAGCTTCGTTTTGATCTGGACAGTTCCTGAAGAGTGAGATCAGGAGGAACAGTCTTGGCAGCTGATGAAAGGAAGACCTCAATCCTAAATACGAGTGGTCTCTTGGAGGCTCCCCACAGCATCTACTGTAGTTCACCTCCTATACCATTTGATTCTACTTGCTTTGTATTTCATCCCATCTGAAAATATCTCCCCCAGGATTATGGTGGGCAACTTGAAAAGAGAAATATTGGGACCAGTTTTGGTGTCATCGTTATGTTGCTGGACTTTCACATAGCCAACTGCAATTTGAGTCCAGGACCTGGCACTTGAAACTCATGCTGGATACTTACGTGTGCATGCCCCAAGTCCCAAGTGGAGAATGGAGAAGAAGAGTGTGTTGCATGGCCATCCTCCCTTGGGAGTTTTTTCTTGCTTTCTGTCTCTGTCTGTCTAGTGAGCACACATGTCCTATAGCAAAAATCTCTCAAAAAAAAAAAAAAAAAAAAAGAAAGAAAGTTTAGCTGGTTAAACCATGGCTCTCTCTACTTTGAGCTTATAACCAATACATGTCCTTTACTCATCTACCTATTTTAAATTCTCTTCACCCTTAGCTTCTACCTCTGTTGATCTATGTGTCTTGCCTGGTGGGATAGACTCTTGTCACCAAACTTTCTGAAGCTATGGCTTCTACATTGCTCCTCCTCTTATGATCATTATTAGACAAAGGAATATCAAGAAATATCCTCTGTGAATCACTTGGATTCCTGAATGATTCACTGTAATACTTGCTACCCATTGTCATAGACTGTCACACCCAAACACACACGGAGACACACAAAGACTTCAAAAGCTCATGGAAAAATAGAATTGAAATGTGAGTTTCTTTTGATGCAAAAAATATCAGAATATATTTTTATGTTATAGTATGTATTTGTCATGAGCTTTTATATTTATGTTTTATCTCCTCTAGGTTTGAGAAATATCAGCATTAAAGGATAGCTCTAAGTGATTGGTTCATGACTTTTCTGTTAGGCAAAATTCACTTCCAAATTTAAGAACAAAACAAATAATTGAATGTTATGGTTATGATGAATAGGAAACATGATCTATGTAAAATGTAGTAAAACGTAACATCTCAATGTACACTATCGTAATAATTTCTCTTAATGCTCCATGTAGTATTTTACCAATTTTAAATTTCAAGCCAGTCATGAATGTGCATTTTGGGCCTTGTGTGTTGTAATATAGTTGTTGTTTTTGTTTGTTTGTTTGTTTTTCTAATGAGGAATACTGCTTTGTATACTATATTTCTTCATGTAAATTACAAATAAGGATGCTCCAAAAATGATCCATTTGTAAATCAGTAATAGTTCAGTGATGATATTTTAAATAATATTTTGCAATTAGTTATATTTTTCTGAATATATTTTATCACAAGCTCAATTATATAAACATTATAACTGAAATGCCATATGTAAATTATACTATATTTAAAATTAGACCATCTTGTGAATTTTCTGAATTAAATTTTGCTGTGGTAATTCCAGTTTTAGGCTACCATAATAATAGCTTTTTAAGGCAAACACATTTTGAATTTCGAGTTTCACTGTCGTAAAAAAATAAACAAGCCTCCCAGCCTTACTTTCCTTTCTCCTTGCATTTCCCCAGTTTCTTCCTTGTACTTCTTCCCTCTCTTCCTTCCTTCAGTGTTAGAGTATGAGTTATGTGCCAGGACCTGTGGGAAGCTCTAGAGGAATAAAAATAAGATAAAGCACTCTTTTTTTGGAGAGGTTTTGCTGTATGGCATGTGTGCTCGCCAGAAAGAGAGA